CTAATCATCTAGTAGTGAACCACATTCCATCGCAGGCGACGGAGCAAGATCTCTTGGAACTTCATTCTAAGTATCGAGTTCCGGACTACATCCTTATGCGTCTTTCGACGAAGGAGGAAAGAATAGACAATCCTCCTCCCAAGTTGGTGAGTTTTTACCCGCAGATGTTATCGAATGGGGTTAGGCTTCCCCTCCCTCTTTTTGCACAATTCTTCTTGACTTTCGACGGAGTGGTACTGTCGCAACCAGCCTCCAACGCGTGGGGCTGATAGCATTGGCCATCCTCTGGCCGAAACTAGGTGGCAATGAGAAGATGACCCTAATCCTGTTGTCCACTCTGACTTTGATGAAGTCAATCAAGGGTTTCCCATGGTTTTACAGTTTGAGTTCTCGTCGTGGGACACTCTTCAATGCCCCCACTTCAAACAAACATTGGAAGGACCACTGGTTCTTCGTCGGTGACTGGTGGTGATCCGTTTGTCGGACGTGTGACCAATCGCTTCTGAGAGCACGATAGGTATCCTAGTGTTCCTTCTTCGTCCTCCTCCCCTTTGCTTGTAACTCTGAGGTCTCGATTTCTTCTTTGCAGTGTTTCCGAGTGGGGTGCTCCCTATTTCATATGAGTCGGAGGGCATACTGCGTAAGATTTTGGCTATCCCTTGGGTCGAGAGGGTCCCCACGCTCATTGCCACAGATGAGAGGTCTCTTAGTGGTTTCGATAGTAGCGGGAGTGCCGCATCGATCAGCGCAACATCCACTGTCTCCCCAGCCCCTACGAAGAGGCTCGATGGAGGGAGCCTTTCTTTGGAAATTCTGATTCAACCAAAAGAAGCGATCTCTCCATTAAAGTGCCATCGTCTGGCAAGGCTAAACGTGGCTGGCCCTTCTACTGAGGCACCCGTCGAGGAGCCAATCTTTAAGATTATTGAGATCATTGAACCTAGTTTGAGCGAGGCCGTCTCCTCGGATCCTCCTACCAACAATCAAGTAGCGGTACTTGCCTTGGGTTCTATGCCGAATTTGGGAGAAAGGGAGGACGGGGATGCAGATGAAGTTCCTGCTAGGGATGCAATTCCTGAGGGTTGCGTCGTAGAGAACCCTTAGTCTGATGCGTCTTCTCCGTAGCTGGAGAAGGACGTTACGCATAATTGCTTTGCCCTTCCTCCGAGGTCTTCTCTTTTGAACCCTTATCGTCGTATATGGGATATTTAAGAATCTACTCGGGAGATGGCTCGCCACCTATTTAGCCACGGACAGGTTCTTCCACCCTTTCGTCTTAGGGAGGAATGTCATGACGGGGCCTTTGAAGCGGTTTATATGAGCAAGTTCCCCTTTCCCTTTCTCTTTTTTGTCCTTGTTCTCTGCCTGAAGCCTTCTTTGGGTTATTTGTGCCAGCTAGTTGGTCGTTTCCATGCCCTGTCCTTGGCCTTGCAGGATGAGTTGGAGGCCAAGAGGGTCCAGGAACAGAAACATTAGGCTGAGTTCCAGCGTCTTTGTTTTGCGGTTTATGTTTTCTTTGTGTAAGTGTACACAACCGTTGTAGTAAGTGATAAAAAGTTTGTATCCACAGGGATTGATAACCAAACGCCTCAATATTACTTAAGAAAATAAACAAACTTAATA